GTGTGTAGTGGGCAAAGTGGTATGATATAGCTCTGTGTAGGTGATGGATGTTGAAATTCAGATGTTTCACCTCAAATCAGAAACGCTGATGTGCGAAGTAACCCACTACATACACCTTGGGAGAAAATATAACATACGGTAGTGGTTGAAATTCCGTATAGGTGCATATTCAGTATAGCAATTGTCAAGTGCGGTTCTGGGAGGTTGGATGTGGTATTGTATCATCGTGAAGCGTCCTTCCAGACCATCGAGCGCTATACGACAAAGTTAACGTGTGGTGGTGGTAGGGACACCTCCCCCGAATCCGCCACCACCTGCGCTGCGCACCCCTCCGCCGCAACCCCCCGCACCCCCCAACGCAACTCTCGCCCCACAGATTTGCCTTTGGTGGTGTTGTGTTGAGCCCTCGGCAAAGCCTGCCAGAGACCCCCCTGCATGGTGCGCGCGCTCAGGCGGAGCAGCGCAGCGCGGAGAGGGCGCAGGCACACAGACAAGCACACTGAGAACTTCTTTACAGAGGGGAGAGGGGAGGGGAGGGGGGCGTCAGCACAAGACTCCAGCAGAGCCGAAACTGCACTGCACAGCACACACACCATTCACACTCCCGTGCAGTGGAGGAGCTGGGGTCTGGGCTGGGCTGGACTCTGGATGGACTGGAGTCTGGTGATTGTTGGGACTTGAAAGTTGGGAGGTTGGAACTTGGAGCCAACGAACCCCTAGAAATCCTACTTTTCCCTCCCACAGAACGACTTCTCGTCCTCGAGATTAGTGGTCCACAGGCTACTACTATTGGTTCTTAGAACATTCCTCCTTCCAAAAGGCCGGCTAGTCGTCTCAGCCGCGTTATCCTGGTGTAGTGCAGCCTTAGAACTGTTTTGTCAAGCACCCAAATAGTATATTTAGGTACTTCTTGTGCCTTGCATTCTACTTCTGTCACCCCTAGCTCTCTCTTTACTCACCCTCACTGCCGTTGTGATTATTTTGGAAATTCCAGCCGTCATCATTTAAAATTTCGTTTCCTCCATTTCGTCGTCAGCATAATGGCTTTCTCGCAACAGCGTATAGCGCTGTCGGGTTTCCCGTCGTCGCCTCGGTTAAGTAAACTCGCGACTCCGCTCCTCCTCTCGCTCCTGCTCCTCCTCCACCATTCCCCGCTCATCTCCGCCGCTACCGCTTACGGCGGCGTTTTGCCTGCTGCCAATACGCTCGCATCCCCGTACTCGCTTCACAACGGGTGGTTCGTCTTCTGGCTGTGCACTTATAACGAGGACGCGGATACGGGCGAAGTGTCTTTCACCCCGTTCTGGTTCAACGGATTCCAGGAGGACTTTCCCAGTCCCATGGATGCTGCCCTGCCGCCTCTGGGATTCTACGCCGTGAACGGAAACTGCGAGTACATGGTTGACTCCTCGTGCAACATCGTGCAAAAAGGTTAGTGTTTGCGTTTCGTTACTTATGTTACCTTTTTTCTGTTTCGTGGTGAACCGTGTGGATGCGCGTTGCAGTCACTAAAAGTCCATGCCGTGAACGGAAACTGGACTTGCGAGGCATAGTCGACTCCCTCCTGTAGCGCTGTCCAACGAGATAGATTTACCTTGCCTCGCTACCACGTGCCTGATGCGTGGCTATTGTGTGCTATGTTGCTCGTTTCTCACGTGTCCGGTGCGAGAAACGAGCAACATAGCACACAATAGGCGTTTCTTGTTACTCACATCAGGCACGACCCATGAGAGAGAGAAGGAAACTCGCCCCAAAACTGGCTTTCGCTCCTCTCCTCTCACCCCCCACCCTCTCCTCCCTCCCCTCCCCCCCCCTCCCTCCCCCCTCCCCCCCCCGCCTTCCCACCCCTCCCGACTCCGCCCTCCCTTTTTCCGCACTTCGGCACGTGCAGATCTGGAGTGCGACGGCTGCTGCCATTTGAATCCGCGCCCTGCCATGTGGAAGCAGGTCACGTGCTTCGGCAGGCTGAGCGAGAAGTGCAACTACCGCATTGCACCCCTCTCGGGCACCTGCGGGGAGCCAGCAAACGACACCATCAACTGCAACGTCTGCAACTTCTCCTCTTAGTGCTGCCTTGAGATTGCTCCGAGGTTCCTCCTTGCAGCTATGGAATACCGCATCGCCCCTTTCCTCTCGGCACCTGAATGGAGGGTCCATTTAAGTTTGAAGCTCTTACAGCCGCAGTGTCTGCAATTGCCGCTCTTACTGTAGTTCCTCTTTATTTGAGTTTGCCCCATTGGCCCATACGCATGGGATTGCTTGATAATTTATCGTGCTGTGCTGCCTTGTAAACTCCTTGCATGTGATTGCTATTACGGTACCGTATCACTCACTTGATGTTGTGTATCTTGCATGCAGGCCGGTGAGCTTAATTGCTTGGTGCATGCTTCCGATGCCTTAGTTGTGATGGCTTATAAAAGAATTACCGTGCTGTAACATGTGAAGAGTTGGCTGCTGAAGAAGTTGTGGGGACTTTTGGCCCTGCTAATGGGGTGATTCGTTTCCATCTATCCTCTATGTAGCTAGACTATTTTGGAACAAAATATTGCAAATATACTGGTACTCGATGCCTTGTGCATTTTTCTCCAGCATCTACCAACCTGACATGCTATCGCAGGTATGGTTCGAGGCTACCAGTACTACAGTGTTATTATGTTTTCAAACTGGTCATGAACTACAGTCACTTTGCTTCAATCAAGCACTTCAGGATTCTGAAGAGGCATTGAACAGATGGGCACTCTCCAAGCCTTCAAAGGCGATTCCCTCCATACACAAAAGAAGGGAGATTGGCTCGTCAAACCCAAGGACTGCTCTGTCGACCGTCGATACATGAAGAATGCTCGTAAAGATGGGGATGCACCTCACCGATTCCCCAAACCACACCCTAGCCGAGCCTAGCCTAAGGAAACTGTAGTTCGTGTCAGTCAGTTTGTCCTACTCGTGTAACTGCATTCCCATGAGCTGGCATGCAGGCGGACATGTTTTTGCGAAAACTGAACCTCCCCTTCACCAAATTTAGCTGGCGCAAGCATGCGCTTGTGCTTCTGGTCGCGGAAAACTGGCAGAAACCCTGCGCCAGAAGCTACAGTGCTGCGCTTTTGGCGAATAGTTTCAGTAACTATGCGTGATGAACTCAAAACCCCGCGGAAAGGTTTCGTTCCCTCCCTGCCTGGTCTTGTTTCACCTGGTGGTGCTTTCCCGCGCAGCACAACAAATTGCGCACCTAATAAGTTCTTCCGCGACCCGACCGAACCTCGTTTCCCGAGCCTCCTTGCCCTTTCGTTTCAGTATCTCCTCCTCCCCAACCGTTCCGCCAACGCAGCAAATCTCGATGTCTTTTTGCCCCCTTCCCCCGCAACAATTTCCCCCATCCCCGTTCCCCTTCGAAACCACCAAGGGTCGAGGCGAGGTACACCACAGCTGGGCTCCCCCCTTCCCTCCCTCCCGCGCATTGCGCTCAGCGCTGGCAGAGCAGTCTTGCGCGTTCCCGCGGAGCCTCCCCAGCCAGGACTGTTGTGTGTGCGTGCTGCTGAGCAGGCAGACCGAACCGAAGCAACCAGCACCAGGTGAGTGTGTGTGTGTACGTACGGAACAGAACAGTGCCTTTGAAACTCGAGCCAATTTCCAAACCGACCAAACCAGGAAACTGTTTCGTGCAGCTGATGTTTTGCTGGACCTTGGGGAATGGATAGTTCTTGGGTGAGGAATCAGAATGGGAGATTACACCGTCGGGGTCGGCGCCAAACTGGAATAGGTTCCTAAAGCAGTTAGAAAATGGTAGATTAGGTTTTCATAGCTATTTTTTCCCCATGAGTGTTGTAATCGCAAGCACAAGCGATGGCGAAGAATAGCGGGACGTCGGTGTTACCGTTTGAGCTCCCATCGCCGTCATTCCTCCACGCACAGCACCAAGGGTCTCCATTGCCACACCAGACATCCCGACACCAGCTAGCATCGCAGCACGAGGCGTCGCGTCGCGATGCACCGAGGAAAAATCGACAATGCCATCCAATACTGAGATCGACAGAACAAACTCCGGCGGGCCTGTCAAAATCGGCCACGTGGCTTCATCAAATACCTACCATGAGACAGTTTTAGTCCCACGCTCGGCAGTCCCTAGGTCTGTGACGTGGAACACGCAGCAGAATCAGCAGGGTGACGCCAGCAGGCCTCGTACAGCGAACCCTAACTCAACTGTGGGACCCGCGGCGCATCCGAAGTACATCCCGCAGTCTAGAACCGACCCGTGCGAGGAGATTAACTTCGAAGCGCGGGTTACAGCGGCACGGGTAGAAGCCAGGAGTCGTGCGTCGGGTGTAAAGGCTTCCACGAGTTACGGCAGGACAGCGATAAAGGCCTATGAGGAAGAGTCTTCGTATGGAGGGTCGAAAGAGACTAATTCGCCTAATGACGTCATTAGCCATAGTTTCCTTCCTTCGGAGAGTAGTCTATCTACCACCGACTCTCACGGCGGGTCCGGCGGTCCTTATCCGGCAGATTTAGAAGCAGAAAACCGTCATTTACGAGGGGTGGAGGAGAGTGAAAGCGCGAGCCCGAATGCGGTTAAGAGTCCCGCTGGCAGGAGACGGAGAGCGTTGGTGAAGCAAGGCGATGACGGTGACGGAGGGTCTTTTAAGGAGGATAAGAAAGGCCGGACGTGGCGCATGCCGAGCCTCCGGAGGCGGCACAGCACCAATGGGAGGGACGACGGAGGCCCGGACGAGCCCGTTCCAGAGCCTCGGAAAGGGCAAGTTTCGGCAGGTTCGGATGCCCGGCCTGAGGTTCCGCCTCGGCGGCCGTTTTACTCCGCGTCGTTCGGGTATGTGAGCGAAAGAAGGAGGAGCTTCGAAGAGGAAGAGAGAAATATCCACCGCAGCGGCAGTAGCAGTCATGGTCCCGCCAGCGGCGGAAGCGGAAGCAGGAAGAACTCCGCGCATTCCGCGTCTCCGGATAATGATCCCCGCGGAAGCACGGAGGCGGAGCCCGCGCGCAGACCCAGCATGTTCCGCCACGCGCGCCCGAAAACTCCCGAGAAGCCGCAATTCCCGGAGAGAAAGGCCATGTCTGAGTCGTTCTCTTCCGCCGGCTCCAACCGCCAGGCGGACTTCTTCCCCCCGCCGTCGCGCGCGGCTGCCATCGCGGCGGAGAAGAAACGGCAGGCGAAGGCGCGGGGGGAGGGGGGCCTGGGGGGGATCAGGGGCGTGTTCAGCCGCAGCAGCAGCATCGCTTCTCGCAGTAGCAGCAGCGGCGGTGGCGGCGGTGGCGGTAAGGTGGGTAGCGGCAACAAGGAGAGCAGCGGAGAGAGTAGCAGAAGCGGCGGGGGCGGGTTGGGTCAGAGTGGAGGGGGCATGATGAGGCGATCTAGTAGCAGCCTCACCACGAGGAACAAGAGCAGCGGTTACGGCAGCAGCAGCAGCAGCAACAGCATCAGCATTAGCCACGCCAACGCCAACAGCAGCAGCGGCAAGCAACCGGAGGGATGTAACGAGGATACCTCGTCTGATTCGTTACAGGTGTCAGAGGGAGGAGAGGATATGCACGAGGTTCTCCCCGTGCCTGCCCTGCCTCGGATCCGAACCAACGCCGCCTCGCCGAAGCGGGCGCTCAGCCGCAGGCTCGGGCTGTCGCTGAAGCTCCCCCACGGGCGGAACGGGGCGAACGGGGAGGGGGAGCGCGGGGGCGAAGGGGGAGCAATGGGGGGAGTAACCGGAGTAGATGGGGAATGGGAGAGGGAAGAGCTGGCGCGGGCGTATGGGAAAGGGGAGCTGGCGCAGCGGCTTAAGGCCCGGGGGGGGTCTTTGAAAGGCTGTCTGTTTCCGCCCCTGTCCCCGTCAATGGCTGACGCGATAAAAGGAGAGGAGATTCGCGAGCGCGTAAACCGTCTGCACAGCCTGCAGCTGCGGCGGGAAGAGCGGAAGGCGCTGCGGAGCAGTGGCGGGGAAGGGGGCGTTGGGGCAGGGGAAGGGGGCGTTGGGGCAGGGGGAGGGCGGAAGGGGGAGAGGGAGGCGGAAGGGGATGCAGAAAGGGGAATGGCGGAAGGTGAGGCAGACTGCGAGGGTAGGCTGGGCAGAGCAGAGCGAGCGGAAAGAGCGGAGAGGGCGGAGAGAGCGGAGAGTGCGGAGAGGGCGGAGAGGGCGGAGAGGGCGGAGAGGGCGGAGGAGCGGGGGCGCGAGAGGGGGAGTGATTCAAGCGAGGAGTCGATAGCATTGAGTGAGGAGGCGCAGGGGGGCGGGCAGGGAGCGGGCGAGACGAAAACGGTCATCCAGGCGATTCTGGAGAAGCGCCGGCAGATCAAGGAGCAGCGCAGGGCGGCTGCACGGGGGGAAGGGCCGCGGGGAGAAGGGTCACGGGGGGAAGGGCCGCGGGGAGAAGGGTCGCGGGGGGAAGGGACGCGGGGGGAGGTGCCACGGGCGGAAGGGCCACGGGGGGAAGAGTTACTGAGGAAGGGGGGTGGGGAAGAAGAGGGGCTCGGGGCGGGAGAAGCGGAGACAGTTGCCAGGGCGGTAGGTCGGGGGACGGCTGTAGCAGTTCGGGGTGCGGGTGACAGTATAGAGAGTGATTCAAACGGTGGTGGCGTGGGCGTCGTCATGGAAGCTCGGATTGGGCGAATGGGCACTGATGCCGAACCTGCTGGTCTGGTGGGTGGTACGGGTGAGGGCATGAGGGACGGGGAGAAGGAGCTGGAAACTGAGGAGGAGAGGGAGGGTGCGAAGGAGAAGGAGGAGGAGGAGGAAGAGGAAGATGAGGAGGACGGATGGGAGAGCCCGGAACCCATAGAGCGATCGAGCACGTGTGACGGGCGGATAGGGGGCAGTCGCGACGAGGACCAGTGGCTGCGAGTCCGAGAGGCCGCCGCTGCCGCCGCTGCTGCCAGAAGAGCCGCTGCGTTGGGGGGCGGAGGAGGGGTGAGGGCGGGGGTGTGGGGGGACAGAGGGGCTGGGTCAGCGGGAGCGGGGCGGGTGGAGGGTAGTGGGACCCCCCCTCGCGCACCACACCATGTGGCGGGTGTTCTAGGCAGTTTTAGTATTCCGCCCAGGAGTCACGTGCGTTCGGCTAGTCACGGGGCTGATAGTGCTGGTCTGGCGCTCTTCTCCTCTGCTGCTGGTAGGGCCCGCAGCCCTTCTTCTGGTACTGGCAGTCGTTCTAGTGGCACCGCCGCCGCTGCTGCTGCTGCTGCTGCTGCTGCTGCTGTGGCTGCTGCTGGTGAAACTGCCTTGTCCCCCTCCTCACTCCATCATCAGCATCACCACCACCAGCACCAGCAGCACCACCAGCAGCAGCAGCACCAGCAGCACCAGCACCACCGACTGCAGCATCTGCACCAGCTCCCCTCCACCCTCTCGCCCCAGCACCCCCACGCCCTCGCCCACCTCCCCACCTCCTCCTCCCTCTCCGCCTCCTTCCGCCCGTCCCTCCCCAAGAACCTCCCCCAGGTGCCCCCGCGCCCGCCCAGCCGCGCGCAGGAGGAGGGCGGGGAGCGCAGGAGGCGGAGATTCGGGTCATTTGGGTCGTCTGTGGTAGAGGATGATTCCAGTGGCAGTGATGCTCACTGCAGCCCTGTCCGCATGGGGTCACTGGGTTCAGCCCTTGCCCCTGCCACTGCTGCTGCAGCTGCAGGTGCCATTGCTGCTGTTGGTGCAGTCTCAGGTGCTGGTGCTGCTGCTGCTGCGGTTGGTGGCAGCAGGGGCCTAGCAGGAGCGATTACCGCCCAGTCTCCTCTGTTTCGAGACCTCTCCCGAACCTCCTCTGCCTCTCCTGTTAGCCGCGCTGCTTTGGAAGCTCTCGGGGTAGGCTCGGCGGGAGGTTCGGGCGGAGGCATGGGGGGGGGCTTGGGGGCCTTGGGAGTGGGAAGGTCGGGCCTAGACAGCCCGCTTGTGCGGAAGAAGCGGGACCAGCAGCAGCAGAGGCAGCAGCAGCGGCGGCAGTCGTTTGGTAGCAACCCGGACCAGAGCCAAGGAGGGGGAGAGGATGAGAATGGCACCAGTGGCGCTGACACCAGTGCGGGGTATTTAGAGGGTAGAGAGGCTAGAGACCCGTGGGCCAGCATGGGAGAGTGGGAGGGCAGGGTGGAGTTGGAAGAGGCAGAGAGGAGCGGAGGGGCGGGGGCGGGAGGTGGGGCGTGGAGGGAGGGGGAAGGAGAGGAGGAGGAGGGGCATATGACAATCGTCCAGCGGGCTCGCTCCCCTGCCCCCATGCGGGGGGAGCATCTGTCCTCCTCGCTTGACTCCTCCTCCGGGCTGTATAGCCCCTTCCCGCGTGCGTCCTCGTCCTCCCCGCTGCAGTCGCCGCTGCTGCGGTCGCCCTCGTGTGGCGTGCAGTTTGAGCATCAGCCGGTGATTCCGCTGCTGCTGCCCGCGAGGCTGAAATCGCCCATGCGGAGGAGCAAGCATGGGCGAGGGCGAGAGGCACAGAGAGACGGGCAGAAAGAGGGACAGAGAGAGGGGCAGAGAGAAGGACAGAATGATGCTCGGGGGCAGGGAGATGATGGTGAGGTGAGGGGCGGAGACGGAGAGGGAGGGGGTGCTTACATGCAGGATGCCCCCCATGCCCCTCCCAGCAGCATGCGGGGCAAGGTGGGCGGAGTGGAGCGGACCAGCAGTGCGCCTGCGCGCAGCCTGCACGTGCTGCCGCCCCAGGCGCTTTCCAGAGGGCGGAAGGGAGCAGAGGCAGACCTTAGCTTTGAAGTCATGCTGAGCGGTGGTGAGAGGGGCGAGGGTAGGGAGGAGGAGGAGGAGGAAGAGGGGGGAAAGGAGGTGGACAAGGAGGAGGAGGAGGAAGAGAGAGGGAGCGGGAGGAGAGGGAAAGAGAGCAGAGGGATGGGCAAGGAGGGGCGGAGTTTGAGACGAGAGGTGCATTCCAAAAGCGAGATTGGTTCGGGCAGGGAGGTTGGTTCGGGCAGGGAGGATCGGAAGGTTGGGCCGGGCAAGAAGTTTGCTTGGGGTGGGAGAGATGTGGGCGGTGGAGGCAGCTCCATGGAGCTCTCCTTTTCACGCATTCCCGTTGGCCGGTTGAATCTGAGCGATATTGACGAAGATATGGCGTCTGCTGCTCTGGAGAGGGAGGAGGAGGATAGGAGAGAGGAGGGAGAAGAGGAGGGAAGGGAAGAGGGGAGAAGAGAGGGTGGAGGAGGGGGAGGTGCAGGCGCGGGTTCATCACAAGTGGACGAAACTACAGAAACAGCAGCAGCAGCAGCAGCAGCAAGAGTCCCAGCAGGACCCGCACCAGTGTCAGCAATTCGGCCGAGTCTCAATCTCAGTATCCTTCTTAATGACCCCCTCTCTCCCCAATCCCAGTCCCCCTTCCCACCCTCCGCACCACACTCCACCCTTGACGGCCCCAATGCTCCCTGCCCCTACAGGGAGTTCGGACCTATCGCGCAGGCTAGGTGCCGAGCCGAGGAGGCTCGGATGCACTGGTCACTGCTGTTTTCACAGTATATGGATGTTCTTATGGGTGCACTGGCAGGGGAAGGGGGGGAGGGAGAGGAGGAGGTGGGGCGACGTAGGAAAAGTGCAGAAGGGAGGGGGCGAGAGGAGGAAGAGGAGGAGGAGATGGAGGAAAGGTGGGGAACGGGTGAGGGGTCAGTTGTTAGCGAAGGAGGAGGAGGAGGAGGCGGGGGAGGAGGAGGAGGAGGAGGAGGAGGTTGGGGAGGAAGAGTGGGTAGAACAACGAGGAAGGCTGGTGCAGGGTTGACTGTAGCTCGCCCTGCTACTGTGGGGGCAGGTCCCTGGGACGTAGACCGTGATTCTCTGGCCGGGGGGTTGGAAGGAATGGGGGGTACAGCAGGAGGGCGAAGGGCAAGCGGAGCAGCATCAGCAGCAGGAACAGCAGCAGGAACAGCAGCAGGGGCAGCATCGGGAGCAGTCCATTCCTGGATGAAGGGTCGGTCGGGGAGGTTAGGCCGAGCCTGGTCTTCTGTTTCGGCTTCCCACCGTGAGTTTGAGTGGATCTGCCGCAAGTTCCAGGCAACTTCCGAGACTTCTGACCACCTACCTGCAATCCGCACCAATGAAGTTTTCACGGCTGCCCTGGCCGTGTGGCTCAAGTTCTGGGACCAATGGGGCGACGGCCGGCCGTCTTGGGCAGCTGAAAATGACGACTCGTCACCGGAAGGGGAAGGGGGAGCGGAGGGGGGAGGAGCAGGCGGGGTGGGTGGGGGTGTAGCGACAGGAAGAGAGGGGAGAGGGGGAGGCACAGGAGCGGGAGCAGGAGCAGGGGCAGGGGCAGGGGCAGGAGAGGGTGCAGTGGCATGGAGGGGGTATGGGCAGGCAGACGTGTGGCAGAGGAGTGATAGTGGCAACAGCAGGTGCAGTGGCAGCTCTCTCCTCTCCCCCTGTGGGTGGAATGCAGATCTTGCTGCTGCTGCTGCTGCTGTGGCAGGGGTACAAGAGGATGGGGATGGGATGGGCGGGGGGATGGAGGGGGGAGAGGGGGCGGGGGACAGGGGCGGGGGAGGGGCAGGCGGAGGGGGAAGAGGGGGAAGAGGCGGGAGAGGGGCAGGGGGCGCGGAGCTGTTTGTGGGGGGAGCAGCGGTGTCACAGGGCGAAGTGATCGACTCGCCAGGGAAGCATAAGGGGTCAAGACTCGCAGCGGGGCGGTGGCATAGTATCACCTCCTCTGCTGTTGCTGCTGCTGCTGCTGCTGCTCTCTCAGAGGGCAGCGAGTCTGGTGAAGCACGGGCGGAGGGAGAGCAAGAGGAGGGAGAGGAGAGAGGGGAGAGAGACGGGTCAGCTGAGAGGAGGGAGAGAGAAGAGAGGGTTTCGAGCAGTCGATTTGAGAGGGAAGAGAGGGGTGGTAGTAGCAGCAGGAGGGTTAAAGACGAGAGGGTAAGAGACGACAGGGTTGCCTGTAGGGAGGAACGGGCACTGGTTTCGACAGGAGCAGAGCGGCCGTTCACCAGCGAGCAATCCCGGCCGTCGGTTTCTGAGAGGCAGCAGCATCAACCACTCAGATCGCACCGTCCGTACACGGCCCATGTGCCCTCGGGCCTGGGCCGTGGGGCGAGTCACCCTGGTTCTATCAGCTCTCCAGCTGCTGCAGCGCCAGGGGCAGTAGGAGCAGCAGCAGCAGCAGGGATAGCAGCAGCAGTAGGAGCAGGGACAGGGGTAGCAGGTGCAGGAGCAGCAGCAAGGGCAACCGTATCAGCAGGAGGGGCAGAAGGGTCACATGCTTCTGATCTCTCCTCCCCGCCAACCCTGACCATCACTCCACACCGCAAGCAGCGCTGGCGCCCGCCTCCTGAATTTGACGATGCTGGCCGGGCGGATGGGGGCAGGGCAGGCACAGGAGGAGCAGCAGGAGCAGGAGCAGCAGGAGGAGCAGGAGCAGGGGGAGGAGGGGGAGGAGCAGGAGGTGCAGCAGGAGGGGGATCAGCAGTATCGATAATGTCTCGGCTGGTAAAAGACGCATTGGCAGGGGAGAGCGACCGGTTCCTGTCAGCGCGGTGCCAGCACGACGACATTCTCCTGTTCGTGGGCGTGGCTGCGGCCATCAGCGCGTGGCGCCCCGCCACGGCCGCTGTCATCCTCCTCCGCGTGCTCGACCGCATCGCCTTCTTTGAACGGCTCCTGGAGCAGCAGCAGCAACAGCAGCGGGGAAGGGGGGGTGGACTTACTCCCAGCAGAGGAAGCGGTGTGGTTACTCCGACGAGAGCGGGAGGGAGCACGCCGACGAGAGGGGGTATGGGTGCGTTCAGCAGCACGCCTCTGAGTAGCACGCCTTCCTCCCCCACTTATGGCATGCGTCCTTGGACCACCCCTATCCATGCAAGTGCTGCTGGTTCAGGTGCAGGTGCTGGTGCTGATACCATCAATATCACCACCAGTATTAGCATCAGCATTAGCAGCGGTGGTTCTCACCTGCCGCCAGGTGCAGCCTCCCCGCGTTCCACCTCCCCCCAGAATGTTTCTGTCCTTCTGGGCGGCAAGCGGGCGGGCGCAAACCTGCCTGCGTGCCGCTCGTTTGTCGTGTCGTGCCTGCTGGCGATTTTGTCCTCTTGTGAGGACCGGGCGGCGACAGCCATGGCGGCGGCGACGCCAGCGGTGCAGCGGCTGCTGATGTGGCAGGAGGCGAGTGGGTGCGACGGGGAAGGGGGCGGGGAGGGTGGGGAAGTGCTAGAGGTAGTACTAGAGGAAAGGGATGATGGGGAGGAGATCTCTCTCACTCCTGCTCCCGCTTCTGCTTCTGCCTCTGCCTCTGTTCTTGCGGGCAGCAGCAGCAGCACCACTGGCAGCCTTCGGAAGCAGCCGAAGAAGCGCCGCGGCCGGCTCCCCAGCTTCTCCGCCCCCTCCCCCTCCGTCCCCGGCCCTTCCTTCCGAACCGCCTGGTCTCCCATGTCCCTCGCCTCTCTCTCTGAAGTCGCTCTAGCTGAAGGCCTGGCCGCTGCCAAGCACTCGAGCCTGGAGGAACGGTGCGAGGAGCAGGATCGGCTGTACCTGCAGCTCAGCCTCGGCCCGGGCCTGCTGGCTATGACGCTGTCGGCAGCCATGCGGGACCTGCCGAACCTGCACCCGGACGATACCATGGCTGTAGCTTTGGCGGTGGAAGGCATGGGGGTGGAGGAGGCGGCGTTTCACGCGGGGTTGCGGGCGGTGGCGAGTGGGAGGCTGGGTGCGGAGGGGTTTGATACGGTTGTGAGGATGGTGTTTGTGGGGCGTGGGGTGCAATCTGTGGCGATGAGGTTCGCTAAGCTGACTGCTGCGGTGAAATCGGTGCGGTTTCTGGGCGGCGGGAGCGGGGCGGCCGGCGCGCCGCCCGGAGGAGCTGCAGGGGCGGGGATGCTCGGACTGGGCGGCAGCGCGGGCGGCAGTACGTCCGGGAGCGTGGCTGTTGTAGGCACATCGGAGAGAGCAGCAACATCGTGGGGGAGAGGTGGCGTTTCTGCTTCTGCTAAAGAGGCTGGGCCTGCCAGCGGTAAGGGTAGTGGAGGAGGGGCGTTGGGAGGAGTCCTCTCTCTCTTCGGGTCGCAGAAACAGCGACCCAGCACCAGCTATATCAGCACAGGCGCTTCTAGCTTCGGCGCCGGACCTGCCGGCAGCCTCGGCGGGTACCAAGCCTCCAGCCACGGCAACAGCGGCGCCGCCGGACCTCAGGCCAGTCCTAGGACCCCCGGAGGCCCGTCCAGTGTTGTTTCCAGCCCTAGAAGCATCACCAGTGACCATCATCAGCACCGCTACAGCCACCGCCACAGCCAGAACCACAGCCACAGCCAGCAGCAGCAGCAGCAGCAGCAGCAGCAACACGGGCAGGATCACCAGTACCAGCAGGAGCAGCAGCAGCAAAGCAGCCCTAAATCTACCTCTTCCCACAGTCCCAACCCAGCTGCCGTCTCCTCTGTCTCTCTCCTCAGCTCCAACACTCCCAAGTGGGCGTCTGCTGCTCTTGCTGCCGCCTCTGCCTGGGGTTCTGCCATGCAAAGCCGTGGGGGGGTTGATGGGGAGAAAGCAGGGGCGGATAGTAAGTCGGATACCAGGAGCATCGCGGGAAGCTGCCGGGAAGGTGCCGCTGCGGATGCGGGGAATGTTGCTGCGGTTGGGAGTGCTGGCGGGGGGAGTGGGAGTAACAGCAAGAGGTGGGATTTTTTCATGGGCAGTTTCACGGGCAGCAGGGGCGGGCCTGGGGCAGTGGAGGACGACGTTTTGTCGCAGGAAGGAGGGCTCGGCCCGGGCAGCGAAATTTCTGTCAGCAGTGTTGGTGCCCGTAGCGCTTCCGCTTCTGCTGCTGGTGCTGCTGCAGCTAGTGGTGGTGGTGGTTTTGCGGGTGCTATTGCTGCAGCTCTGACCAGCACTGCCAGCATCTACAGCGGTGGTGGCGGCGGCGGTAACCGCGGTAACAACGGTAACGGTTTCGGGTGGGGCGGCGGCAGTAACTGGGGCGGCGGCAGCAACTGGGGCGGCGGGACGAACGGCGCGCTGACACCTGGCAACGGGGGGTGCACGCCACGCGCTCTCACCCCGCGATCTGCCGCGCAGCACCAGCAGCAGCAGCAACAGCAGCAGCAGAAGAGCTCTTATGTATCCGAGTTTGTGGCAGCGGTGTTGAGGAGTGAGGAGATGAGGAAGCAGCACGCATGGGCGTATGAGGTGCTGCTGAATTTCCTCCGCATCAACAGCCGCGGGGCTCCCATGGAAGAGAGGGAGCTGGACCTGTGTGCGCGGGTGAGTGGGGGAGGAGTGTGTATTCGGGTGTGTGTGTGTATGTGTGCGTGTGCGGGTGAGTGGCCTTTCTCTCCTTTCCTCACTCCCTGCCTGGTTTCCTCCCTCCCTCACCATAGGTGGTGCTCAACAAATGGCTCGGCGAGGGCTCCGAGGCTGACCGCGAGGCTCGGGCAGTGGCTCGGGTGGAGAGGATGGGCAATCCAGGGTCGGAGGTGGGGTGGCCCATGTGGCTGCGCATTGGACGGCTGGTGGAGAGCGAGATGAGCCACATGCCGCGCCTCATGGAGGCCATGCACGCCTTGTCAATCTGGCTCAACTACGATGTGAGTGTTCTGGGTTGTAAGGTGACTCAGAGCTAGTGGCTGGTGGAGAGCGAGATGAGCCACATGCCGCGCCTCATGGAGGCCATGCACGCCTTGTCAATCTGGCTCAACTACGATGTGAGTGTTCTGGGTTGTAAGGTGACTCAGAGCTAGTGGCTGGTGGAGGGCGAGATGAGCCACATGCCGCGTCTTATGGAGGCCATGCACGCACTCTCCATCTGGCTCAACTACGATGTGAGTGTCTCTCCTCTCACCCGCCCACATGCCCCGTCTTATGGAGGCCATGCACGCACTCTCCATTTGGCTCAACTACGATGTGAGTGTCTCTCCTCTCACCCGCCCACATGCCGCGTCTGATGGAGGCCATGCACGCGCTCTCCATTTGGCTCAACTACCATGTGAGTGTCTCTCCTCTCACCCGCCCACATGCCGCGTCTGATGGAGGCCATGCACGCGCTCTCCATTTGGCTCAACTACCATGTGAGTGTCTCTCCTCTCACCCGCCCACATGCCGCGTCTGATGGAGGCCATGCACGCGCTCTCCATTTGGCTCAACTACCATGTGAGTGTCTCTCCTCTCACCCGCCCACATGCCGCGTCTGATGGAGGCCATGCACGCGCTCTCCATTTGGCTCAACTACCATGTGAGACTCCTCTCTTCCTCCCTCGTTTTCGCCCTCGCTTGCTCTCGGTAAGGCGGGTTAAGGTGATGAGTGAAAAGCCAGAGAAGTCAAGTGCGCATCGGACGGTTGGTTGAGAGCGAGATAGGTCACATGCCTCGCCTCATGGAGGCCATGCACGCGTTATCTATCTGGCTCCACTACGATGTGAGTCTCTTGGTAGCTGCTGTGACGTGTGGGTAAGGTTTGGAAAGGTGGTGGTGGGAGGAGAGCGAAATGGCGCACATGCCGCGCCTCATGGAGGCCATGCACGCGTTATCTATCTGGCTCCACTACGATGGGAGTGTCCTTGGTTCAACCATGCTGTCACTTTCCCTTTTGCACCTGATTTTGATACTTCTCAGAGGCAATGCAGTTCCCCCCCCTCCCCCCCTCTTAACCCTCTCTCGCCTCATCCCTCGCCCCATCCCCCTCTTGTCCCCCTATCTCGGCTCCCTTCCCATTTCAGAAGCTAGAGGAGGATGGGTCGTGTTCGGACGCCACAGCAGGGGAGGTGTTGGACTGGGGCATGCACGGGCTGCTGCATGTGCTGCCAGAGGGCTCCTCCGTGCAGACTCTGCTTGACTTGCTTGACCCGGTTGACCTCTCCCAATGATCCGAACAGTACTCTTCCCCATCCCCATTCCCCCCATCCCCCGCTCCCCTTGTCCCTCTCCCGATCCTCCGTTCCCCCACCTCAGAAACTCGAAGAAGATGGGTCGTGTTCGGACGCCACAGCAGGGGAGGTGTTGGACTGGGGCATGCACGGGCTGCTACACGTACTGCCAGAGGGCTCCTCCGCGCAGACCCTGCTTGACTTGCTTGACCCGGTTGACCTCTCCCAGTGGTCCCAACAGTACCCTCCCCGATCCTCATTCCTCCTTCCGCCTCTCCTCATTCCCCTCTCCCCATCCCCATTCTCCCCATCCCCGTTTCCCCCATCCCGGTTCCCCGCACCCCATTCCCCCCATTCCCAGAAACTAGAGGAGGATGGGTCGTGTTCGGACGCCACAGCAGGGGAGGTGTTGGACTGGGGCATGCACGGGCTGCTGCACGTGCTGCCAGAGGGCTCCTCCGCGCAGACTCTGCTTGACTTGCTTGACCCGGAGGACGATGACTGGGTTGACCTGTCCCTGGCTGTGGTGGCGCGCATTGCTGCCTGCCCCAGTGTGCTCTGGCCTGTCAAAGGGGGGTCGGCGCTGTTCGTTGCCAAGCTGCTCACTCTAGTGGAGGACTGTAAGTGCTTCACACAGTTTGACTCTGGTTGACTCTTGTTGACTCTCGTTGACCCTCCTTGACTTGCTGCCTGCCCAGCGTGCTCTGGCCCGTCAAAGGGGGGTCGGCTCTGTTTGTTGCCAAGCTGCTCACTCTTGTGGAGGACTGTAAGTGATTTGCCTTGACTCCCCTTGACTCCCCTTGACTCTGCTTGACTTGCTTGACCCGGAGGACGATGACTGGGTGGACCTGTCCCTGGCTGTGGTGGCTCGCATCGCTGCCTGCCCCAGTGTGCTCTGGCCCGTCAAAGGGGGGTCGGCGCTGTTTGTTGCCAAGCTGCTCACCCTCGGCGAGGACTGTAAGTGCCTCTGCTGTACTCTCCTCAACTCGGTTTTACTTGCTTGACCTGGAGGAAGGTGACTGGGTGGGCCTGTCGTTCTGTCTGGTGCAGCTGTTGCCTTCCCAACTGCGCGCTGCTCAGGTCATTCTTCAGTGGGCGCTGGGGTGATTCGTGACCAGCACAGCATTTCAAGAACTCTGCTGTCAAGCTTGTTGTGTTTCCTCCCTGACCCTCCCTGAACCCTCCCCAACTCGTCTCTCCTTGAACCCTCCCCAACTCCTCCCTAACCTTCCCTGCAGGTGCTGAGATGACTCGCGACCAGCAGAGCCGCGCGGTGCAAGTGGCGGTGCAGCTGTGGGGGTGGGCCATGCCGAAAAGAGAGCAGCTGCTGGAGCAGTGCGAGGTGAGAGGCAGGAGGAAAGCAGGGGGAAGGGGAAGGGGGACCTGAGAGGGTGAGGGCAAGGACGGGGGGAGGGTGAAGGCGTGTGGCAGCATGGCGATGCAGCGAAGGGGGTGGGCCACGCCAAACATGAGCGATGCCACACCTACTTCTATTTGACCCCAAACCTCTGCTGGGCCCATCTCGCCCCTCCCTCCCTGTCCCCATCAGACCGAGGAGGAGGTGATGGAGGTTCTCGACCGCTCAGCTGTGGACTTTGGTTGACTTTGTAAGACTCTTGTCCTGATCTGACCTCTGCTGGGCCCATCTCGCCCCTCCCTCCCTGTCCCCATCAGACCAAGGAGGAGGTGATGGAGGTTCTCGACCGCTCAGCTGTGGACTTTGGTTGACTTTTAAGACTCTTGTCCTGATCTGACCTCTGCTGGGCCCATCTCGCCCCTCCCTCCCTGTCCCCATCAGACCGAGGAGGAGGTGATGGAGGTTCTCGACCGCTCAGCTGTGGACTTTGGTTGACTTTGTAAGACTCTTGTCCTGATCTGACCTCTGCTGGGCCCATCTCGCCCCTCCCTCCCTGTCCCCATCAGACCGAGGAGGAGGTGATGGAGGTTCTCGACCGCTCAGCTGTGGACTTTGGTTGACTTTGTAAGACTCTTGTCCTGATCTGACCTCTGCTGGGCCCATCTCGCCCCTCCCTCCCTGTCCCCATCAGACCGAGGAGGAGGTGATGGAGGTTCTCGACCGCTCAGCTGTGGACTTTGGTTGACTTTGTAAGACTCTTGTCCTGATCTGACCTCTGCTCTGACCTCTGCTGGGCCCATCTCGCCCCTCCCTCCCTGTCCCCATCAGACCGAGGAGGAGGTGATGGAGGTTCTCGACCGCTCAGCTGCTGCCACGTGGCGCTCTGTTGCTCTGGGAGGTGAGCGCTGAGTAGCCACTCCTGTCTCTGTGTGTTTGCTTGGGGCGAGATGTTGCCGACGCTGGTGGCAGTTTTAAAAAGTTTCTCACTTTTTAGTTGGTAGGATTCCCTATTTCAACATGTTAAAGTAGCTATTTAAGGGGCACCCGGCACCTGAATAGTATACTCTGCTTTGGCTTTTCTCACTCAAGGCGTCTCAGCCAGTCAGCCTTTTTCCAGTCCCTTGTCTTATTATCTCCTGTCCTCGCCCTCTCTACCCCGCCTTTTCTCTACCCTCCTCTTTCTACAGCTATGGCTGCTGTGCTGGGCTGAAATTCAGCTGAGGCAAACACAGCAGAGGCGCCTAAAAATATGTTTTGGATCAACATTTTCCTAAGGAGGCTGATAATCTCTGCTGGTTGAACCCTTTCTACAGTTGCCCTTCAGTACGCCCTTCGATTTTCCCTGCGGTGCAACTTGTAAATTATTTTCGGGGCATGCTCTCTGACCTGAAGGCTCCTCATTGGCTGCGTGCCCTCTGAAGACCTGCCCGCCTGCGCTGCCTGCTGGGCCTGCTCTACATGCCCTGGCTGCCAGCCGTATCGTGCCACAGCATCAACATATCTGCTACAGTGCTTTGAGGCGAGGCTGTGAGTCGATTTACACGTCACCTCGTTACGATGGCACGCGACACGGCGCGCCCCGTTTCACAGCATGAACGGCTTTGCTACCTTGCTTTGAGGCGACTCGACAAAGGTTCTGCGAAATCACAGCACACAGCCGGTAATTCCCCGATAATTTTATAACTGACCTTGCCTGTGTGTCGTGCACGCTGTATTTATTCTTGCTTGTAACTAACCCTATAGTAGGTAGGATTTGTGAGGGAGTGTGCGTCATAAGCATCCCTTTTGCTGCTTTTGTTTTAGCCGTATTGTTTGTTACACTACTGCTCGTTAGGAACCTTCCCTACATGTTGTAGCTTGTGCATTGCATCTTTCCGTTTGTTGTGTTCATATCTTTACAGTTTATTGACTTGCCTGTTTCAACGTTCACGGAGAACTGTAGTATCAGTCCAAAAAAAATCGAGGGTCTCGGAATTTCTATCGCGTACGAAACAGTCCAAAACCCCATACCATCTGACACACACCCACCCCTCAGTCCGCTCGGCAATACCGATGGCGGAGCCAAACGCGTGGCTCGCGGCGGTGAGCGCCTGCTACAGCGCCGCGGGCATCGTCCCGTATTGCTACGACGACGCCGGCCGCTTGTTCTTTCTGCTCCACACAGAAGGGTGCGGGCATTGCCCCCCTCGCGCTATCGCATCCGCGCGCGATCAAGCATCCGCGGGCGGCCGCGCGCCTGGCCCCCCCCGCGCAATCGCTTCCGCGTGCGACGCATCAAAGCAGAATCAGGATGAAGAGGAGAATAAGCAAGAGAGTGCGAATCCTTCGGATCAGCCGCAAGAGATAGTAGCGAAGCAGGAACCGGATCAAGAGAATGAGGAGGAGCAAAAGCAAGCGAGTGCAAACCCCTCGGATCAGCCGCAAGAGATAGTAGCGAAGCAGGAACCGGCTCAAGATAATGAGGAGGAGCAAAAGCAAGCGAGTGCAAACCCTTCGGATCAGTCGCGAGAGATAGTAGTGAAGCAGGAACCAGATCAAGAGAATGAGGAGGGGCAAAAGCAGGCGAGTGCAAACTCCTCGGATCAGCCGCAAGAGACTGCAGCGGAGAGCGGCGCGGAGAAGCGGAAGAGGGTGAACGACCAGTTGCGGATCGAGTTGGCGCAGAAAGACCCGCGGAGTCGGAAGAAGCGGCTGGAAGCGCTCAAGGCGGAGCACCGGCTGCGGGAAAGCGCGCGGAAGCGGGAGGAGAAGCGGATGCAGGATCAGGATCAAGAACGTGAGGGGGAGCGACAGCGCGAGAGTCAAAATCCCTCGGATCAATCGCAAGAGACTGTAGCGGAGGACGTTGCGGCGCAGCGGAGGAGGTTCATTGAGCTTGCGCGGATGCAGTTGGCGCAGGAAGACCCGCAGATGCGGAAGAAGCGGCTGGAAGCGCTCAAGGCGGAGCACCGGCTGCAGGAGAAGGGGCGGAAGCAGCAGGAGAAGCGGAGGCGGAAGATGCAGAAGAGCGGGGTGTTTCTGCTTGACTTCGGGGGAAAGAAGGAGGAGGCGGATAACCACTCCCCCGTCCGCACTGCTGCGCGGTATGCCGAATCTGATTTTTGAGAATTCTTAAAAAACAGATGCAGAAGAGCGGAGTTTTTCTGCTTGACTTCGGGGGAAAGAAGGAGGATGCGGATAACCACTCCCCCGTCCGCACTGCTGCGCGGTATGCCGAATCTGATTTTTGAGAATTCTTAAAAAAACAGATGCAGAAGAGCGGAGTGTTTCTGCTTGACTTCGGGGGAAAGAAGGAGGATGCGGACAACCACTCCCCCGTCCGCACTGCTGCGCGGTATGCAGCGCGTGCTGCCTCCCCATCCTTGCCCTCCCTGCCCCGCCCTCCGCTCCCCACCCCGCCCACTCCCTCCCTGCCCCGCCCTCCCCTCCCTGCTCCGCCTCCCCCCTCCCCGGCCCGCCCTCCCCTCCCTGCTCCGCCTCCCCCTTCCCCACCCCTCCCTCCCCCTCCCTGCCCCGCGCTTCCCCACCCCGCCCTGCCCTGTCCCGCCCCGCCACTCCGGACCCGGATGTGCCCCTGTGAGGTGCCGTGCAGGAGGTTTATCAAGACGGTCCGTTACAAACCCCTAAAACCTCAATTCCATGTGACACTCTGTGCGCTCCGCGGTGCAGGGAGCATGTGGAGGAGTTTGAGGCGGGGTATGACAAGCTCAAGGGTGCCACGTGGCGGTTTTTGAGGCCGCCTAAAAAAATCCTCCGGTGTGCTGGAGCGGTGCAGGGAGTTTGTCAAGAAGATTCTTAAAATCTCTACAAACCCTAAAAATCTCACCCTCATGTGCCCCTGTGTGCTGCTGCTACTGCAGTGCTTGGAGGGAGTATGTGGTCCGGGGAGGTGATTGTTGACGAAGCCCTAAAGCCCTAAAGCCCTAAAGCCCTAAAGCCCTAATGAGTCTCATCTTTCATTCCCATGTGGCCTTGTGTGCCTCTCTGTGTGTGCCTCTGTGCTGCTGCCACGTTGCAGGGAGTATGTGGAGGAATATGAGGCCGGCTATTACAACCTCAAGGGTGCTATGTGGGAGAAACGCATTGCTGACGTGGCAGCAGCACTCGCGGACCAATCAGAGGCCTTCTACAGCGGGAACGGCGGGCACGTGTTCTTCCTGTGCCACGAAGACAGGCTCAAAGACCCCGAGCAGGGCGGCGCCAGTGTGACAGACAACAGCGTGACAGTCAACAGCATGACAAACAGCAGTGTGACTAAAATGAACGGAGCGAACAGCACTACCGGTGGTGCTGTGACAGTAAAGAAAACAGCTGCAGCTGCCACCACCCCAGCTGTACCTGCTTCAGTTGTCACTCGGCTCAACGCCAGGTGGGTGGATGCATCCAAAGTGGTGGATCATCTCTTGAATAAGAAGAGATTAAAGCCCGCACTGCACTATCGGCTCAACCCGTCTGGCCCTTCAGGCGGCGTTCCTGAACTCGTGGCCTGCATCGCAAGGCTACAGGAGATTGGGAATGCTCGCGTGGATCCTCCTGTGAACCCCCCTGTGAATCCTCCTGTGAATCCTCCTGCTCCGTCTGATGCGCCAAAATCGCCTCCTTGCAATGACACTGACTCCAGGGCAGGCTTAGGGTGTATTCCGGAGACGATGCGTCAGAAAAGGAGGCGCCGCAAACGCGTAAAAACCGAGCTCGTAGCCTGCATCTCAAGGCTTCAGGAGATTGGGAATGCTCGCGTGAATCCTTCTTTTGAGGCGCCTCAAAAGCCGTCCGGACCTTCAGGTGACGTTCCTGAACTCGTGGCCTGCATCTCAAGGCCCCAGGAGACTGGGAATGCTCGCGTGAATCTTCCTGCTCCGTCTGAACAACAAGAACGGCCTCCTCCTTGCATTGGCATTGCCGCCGCAACAGGCTTAGAGTGCGTTCCTTTAACACGGCGTCAGATAAGGAGGCGCCGCAAACGCATGAGAGCCGAGTCGCGTGCTAATGCATGTTAAACCCCGCGTTTCATTTTATTTCTGAATGTCAGTGATTCTTGTATGCGCGCAGAGGGTTTTATCATGTGGCATGTGTAGACTCGCTGCCTGTTTGCCATTTTTGAGCTACATGTAACCAGATGCCGAAATAGCCCAGTATACTGTACCAAGCTGACCAGTCACGTTTAGCGTGCTGTTGCGTATGTTAAAGCAAGGGTGCACATTCCTGGGGGAGGTTTTTGGGGGCATTGTCAGTGTAGACCCTTTGATGCCCCCTGATTGGCGCGCGAATTGTGAACCGGTACGTAAAGCTGGAGCGAGGTGAAGAAACAGCACTAGCGATGCCAATCCATTTCGTACCAGGGGGTTTGGGGCTTGGCGCGCGCAGGGTTGGGCGGAACTCAAGCCCTCAGCGCAAACAAGCAAGACGACTCACAGAAAATGTCCTCGTCACTCTGCTCCGACAAATCTGAACAAGAGTTTGAAAACCATACATACTTTGGCCGCGCTACTATAATTCCACGTCCACCCACAAGTACTTAGTTCATAGCCGGTTTTGTGGTTGCTGTGCTATTACCTTGCTTGCAATATGTGTGTCGTGGTTGGAGAGTTGAGCGTGTCAAGACTAAGTCAAGGGTATGGTGAGATTAGGTCAAGGTTGGGGTACAAGACTAGAGTGTCGAGAAAGTTTCTGTACCCCCTAGTGCTAACCCCCATACAGCCTAGATAACCTAAACATATATATATGATTTGACACACCCCCATAGACGAAATGGGGGATAGCCAGAGCAAGCAACGGTCACAAGACCAGTCAAAAGAAGAAACAAAACACAGCTCAGGGTGGATCACAACGTCACCACGCAGTCTGAGCACAAGCAAAATGCCACAAGGCCAGTTCACATGCAGAGATATATACGTAACAACAACAGCACACTGATCTCTACCTACCAGAGCAAGCATGCAGGTATATATATAGATCACAGTACAAACAAAGTCTACAGCAAGTGAGGAAACGTGGGCACAAGGCCTAACAAAGTACAGAAACGCTGATGATCACCAGGCGGAAGCGCCTTGGTGAATATATCAGCAGTGTTGGCCCGAGTGGCCACGTAAGCAAGACGAAGCTGACCACGCTGCTGTAGCTCTCGAGCAAGGAAGTAAAGCAGAGCGATGCGCTTCGTTCTGTGCTCCAGTCTGTGCTCCTGACACAAGGCAATGGCGGCCTTGTTGTCGACGTACAGCACTGGAGGAGAACGAGGCCTCTCTCCCAAGTCGGTCAGCAGGTAGGTGAGCCAGCGTAACTCCTGTGCAGCCATGGCTGTGGCGTAGATCTCAGCCTCACAACTGGAGCTGAGAACTGAAGACGAGCGTGTAGAACGCCAAGAAACCGAACCAGAGCCAAGGCTGAAGGTGTAACCCTGTGACGACCGCTGCGTAGCCTGGTCGTCAACCCAAGAAGCGTCTGAGTGCCCAGTGAGGACAACGTCGCTCCGTCCTCCAAGCACGAGCCCCATGCCCGATGTACTGCACAAGTAGCGTAGTACCCTCTTAGCAGCATCCATGTGCACCTTTCGGTGCCGACCAGGAGCCACGTAGCGAGCCAGAAGGCCAAGAGGGTACGCAAGGTCAGGACGAGTGCAGGTCATCAGGTACATGAGGCAGCCCACTAGCTCTGGGTAAGGACCACTCGGCTCTACGGACTCGTCCGAAGGTAGAGCTTAGAGCAAGTGACCTGTAGCCAGAGGAGTGTGCTGTGCCGAGGACCAGGTGAAGCCGAAGCGCTGAAGGACCTGCTGCACCATGTGTGACTGAGTCAGTGTGATGGTGCGGCGTGCTCTGTCCCGGGTGATCCGCAAGCCAAGATAGCTTGTCAGCTCACCCAGGTCTGTGCACGTGTGTCTCTTCTGCAGCTCCGAACTCACCAGGGCGAGAGCCTCAGTGTCAGCAGTGGCAAAGACCAAGTCGTCGACGCACACGAGGATGTAGAGCGGCGGCAGTGAAGTGTCGGTGCGCAGAAACAGCGACGGGTCAGCAGTCGACGGAGAAAACCCAAGAGCCGCAAATGTCGTCCTCAGTGTGTCGTGCCACTCACGCGGCGCCTGGCGGAGACCGTAGACCGGCCGCCGGAGGCTCCACTGGGTACCAGGAGGGAACGACCCAGTGAAGCCAGGTGGGCGGCGCAGCCAGATCTCCTCGTGCAGGCTGCCCTGTAAGAAAGCTGTGCTGAAGTCAAGAGAGTGAAGCTCGTAGTCACGCTGGGCGGCAACGTGCAGCAGCACACGAAGAGTGGTCATCTTTGGGGTGGGGGAGAAGGTCTGGAAGAAGTCAACTCCCTCTCGCTGACTGAAACCTCGAGCAACGTAACGAGCCTTGAAGACAGGCGGAGAACCTGGCGGCCGCTTCACCCTGAAAATCCACATGCCACTGACGATGTTCGCCCCAGGAGGGGGAACCTCGTCGACGTAGGTGCCTGTGGACTTCCAGGATGCCATCTCTGCATCCATGGCTGTCCTGTCACTGAGAGGAGAACTCACCCGCGATCGCCTCAGCGTAAGAGCGCGGGGTCGGGATGTCTGGTGCATCCGGGTCTCCCTCAGGGGCAAGCAGCATGGACACAAGATGAGGCGCAGCGGCTGCAAAACACTCAAGGTCCTCGTGCCTGTCCTCAAGGACGTCCGTGCCAAGAGCACACTCACCCCCGACGGACGGAGGATAGACAGACTCAGACTCAGCAACAAGACTAGCAGCGTAGTCTAGACGACAGGCAGCAGCAAAGTCAACAAGCTCAGCGACTAAGGCAGACGCAGCAGCAGACTCAAACGACGGGTCAGTGACAACAGTGGCTAGCAGACGCGTGACAGTAGGGTGCTCAGCACGAAACCGGTCAGACTCAGGGTCTGGAACAATAGGCAGAGAAGACTCCGGAGGGGACGGCAGAGGAACACGCTGCAGAGGAGAGGAAGGACGACGGACTACAAGGGAAGGACCGGGGACAGCCGGCGGACGCTGACGAGGAACACGACGACTGGAACGACCAGAACGGACAGGTGAGACAGGACGCGACGCAGGCTCACAACGCTCAGTAAAGCCCCCTGTCTGCTCAGCGTAAGGAGAAGGAGCAGGCAGAGGTGAGCCAGGCTGTAACGGAAGACCAGTAGACGACGGGAGGCTAAGAACCTGACGAAGTACGGAGTCAGGCGGTGGCAGAGACGACGGAGACGGTGGAGCAAAGAACAAGCGCGGCTGTGCAGTGCCACCAGCACCAGCGGCTCCAGCACCCGCAGCAGCTCCAGCGCCTCCAGCAGCTCCAGTACCCTCAGCAGCTCCAGCACCTCCTCCAGCTCCAGCACCCTCAGCAGCTCCAGCACCTCCAGCAGCTCCAGCACCCTCAGCAGCTCCAGCACCCTTAGCAGCTCCAGCACCTCCAGCAGCTCCAGCACCCTCAGCAGCTCCAGCACCCTCAGCAGCTGCAGCACCCTCAGCAGCTCCAATACCCTCAGCAGCACCCCCAGAACCGGCACCTCCAGTCCCAGGGTCTCCAGCCTCCGTGTCTCCAGCAACAGCACCCCCGGACCCAGGGTCTCCAGCAGTAGCACCCTCAGGCTCAGTAGTACCTCCAGCCCCAGCAGCTCCAGCACCTCCAGTGCGAGCACCTCCAGGACCTGCACCACTCCCAGCTCCAGTGGTGTCAGCAGAAGTACCTCCAGCGGCAGAGCCCCGAGCTCCAGAAGCACGACCCTGACGGCGACCGTACCAGTCGTGCAGCTGCTGTGAGGTGAGAGGCACACGCGTACGAAGGCGGCTACTCCAAGGAGACCGCGCAGGAGCAGACTCAGAACCCTCAGGCGTCGCACCCCCAGACTCAGCACCCCCAGGCTCAGGACCTCCAGGCTCCTCACGCTCAGGCTCAGCACCCCGAGACTCCGCACCCCCGGGCTCAGCACCCTCAAGCTCCGCACCCCCAGGCTCAGCACCCTCAAGCTCTGCACCCCCAGGCTCAGCACCCCCAGGCTCCGCACCCCCAGGCTCAGCACCCCCAAAGACAGCACCACCCCCAGTAGGACCTGAGTCACCAGTGACCTCAACAGGCGCAGGCACGGGAGGGTCTACCTGAGAAACACCTGAAGGAGCAGGACCTGGCGCGAGGAGGGGGTCTACCTGGGGAGGACCTGGGGCGAGAAAGAGCGGCGGGGGGGGGCGAGGGGCAGTGCGGTAGGGAAAGAGACGGTAAAGGGGGACGAACTCGTCAAAGGTGAGGTCCTGAGACGGAAAGACACGGCGCGAGGCTGGGTCGTAAAGCTGCCAGCCAGGTGCGTCAGGAACAAAGCCAAGGAAGACGCAGGGAATGGCGCGAGCGGAGAGTTTGTCCGCGGTGGTATCGCGGACAAAGGCACGAGCACCCCAGACCCGGAAACGCGACGCATCGCCAACCTTCCCTGTCCACAGCAGTGTGGGCGAGGTCTCCGGCAAGGAGACACGGGGCCAGAGGTTGAGATGATGCGCGGCGTACCGGACCGCAAACGGCCACAGAAAATGGGGGGCAGCCGCATGGATCATGGAGGTACGAGCGACCTCCATGACTAAGCCAATGCGGCGCTCAGCAACCCCATTCTGCTGCGGAGAGGCCGGAAGCGTGAACGTCTGGCGGATGCCGTGCTCCGCACAGTAGGCTGCCAAGAGGTCTGAGGAGAACTCACCACCTCTGTC